AAATAATTTTCAGCTGTTCACCTATTTATGAGTAATTCTCTCGACTCAATTCCTGCTTTTTACTTGTCTCAATTTCTGCTTGACGTAGTTGCAGAAAAAAGTTGGAGTGATTACAGTTAAAATCGTACTAATTGCAAAGTGATCATGAGTATTATTTTAGTAAAGTTCTGGAACATGTGTCATTTCAGATCAAAATAACAAATTGGTTTTTATGTTATTTAGGAGCAAACTGAACTAAGTCAAATTTTCTTTTGTTCCAGTTACGTTATATTAGCTCCTTCCCTGAAAAATTTGCTCCATTTCTCCGAGTTCTTGAATAAATCTCTGAGGATATAATCATTCTTCACATCATCGAATTCATTCCAAAAAATTATCAATTTCTCCCTCCTTTTTTTGCAGATAACCAACTCACAACATACAACCCTAGTAACCTTGATCTAGTTGACGTTTTCCAAAATTCTGAGTGGAGTGTTCCAACGATAACGGAGCAGACGAATGAGGATGAAGATCTCTTCAAGGATCTGAACACACCAATCATCAGTATTCCGAATAGTCCGCCAGTTTCTCCCCTTCCTCCAACACCCCTCCCTGCTACGCCCAGTGCGAAAAGAAGAAGAAAATGAACGGCATCTAATTAATTTTAATTTAAGAATTTATTCTTATTATCCATGGTTCATGGCACCCATCGGCTCAACTTTCTGTACAAAATGCTGAGGATGCAAGCTAGTCTAGTCGATCAGTCTGCTGTTCGGCATTTGTCAAAACGCGTCAGAATTATGTGTCTTGAAAATTGGATGCTTTTCATAACATACGGAGATCTCTTTCTGCAGCGGATGCACTAAAAACTACAGTTTTTACAAAGAAATTAAAGTTTTTGAAACTTAGCGCAGAAAATTTAAATTTGTCAAAGTTTCCTAATCAGGCAAAAGATCCTATTTATAATATGATTCAGACCTGGTTGCGTCTTGTTCAAAAGCTAGAAATGCATCCAACTTTCAGGACTGAATTAGCGTAAGTGTAGATACCTTTAGAAGTTTTTCTTTTCCTATTTCAGATATGCAGTACGATTCAGCATGAGCTAAAAAATTAGGAAATGCTGAACCAATCAAACTATTGTTTTCCTCTCTTCGTCTGAATTTGAATTTTTCTTTTGAGTCTTAGTGATTCCTTTCACACATCCAGGCCATGTGTTTTTCAGCTCCGACTCCTAAAATACTAACATGTACGAAAGCATAATTGACCACTTTTTTCTTTTTTGAAACGGGAAGGTTGGTGGATTAGTAGGTAGAATCGTCGTAGACCTCAATTACAAAGTTAGTTCTCAGAGGCCCTATCTTAAACGTAGCTACTGTATAAGAATGGGTCAGTTGCGGAAGTTATAGAATCGCACATTGATGGTTGAATTTTTTAGATTGATAAAAATTAAGTAGATCTGTCCAGTCATTATGAACTTATCCCCAATACTGACAGAAATATTGTCACATGAAAACAAGGAGATGAAATCTACTGTGTTTTTATTTGATGCTAGCGTTATCCAACTGAAGTTCATGAATCGCATGTTTTCACAGATCTTAGTTTCACCCAATCCTACTCAAAGCAACTGACTCATTCTATCACTCGTATTTTATTGGCTGTGATAAAAAAGGTATCTGATTGATAAATAATTGTTTGATACTTATTAAAGTGGTCTTTAGTTTTGATAAAGTTTCTGTTCTGTCTTGAGTGCATCGTGCTAACAGCAAAGAAGGTGGAAATCGTTTTAAATATACCGCAAATAACTGCATCTTAAAATGAGGAGTAAGCTGTTTATACGCTCAGAAGATCAAAACCAGATCATCAATCATTAAAAAAGGAAATCGTCTACTTCAATAATGCTGCTCACTTGTTGAAATTCTAAATTCCTAGTCGCGATTACTCTTTTGGGTGAATTTGAATGAAGCAGGACTTGTAATTTTGTTAGAAAGACAGTTTGTTCTCTCAATTGTTCTCAGGGACTTTTTTTTTAATTTCATTTTTAATTTCTGTTTTCTTTTTTTGCGGCTTTTGACATCAAAAGCTGGGTCTGGTGACCCTTGGTATAGAGCGCTTCATACATAATGAATCCAGGTTTGCGTGAGTTGAAACCACAAGTTCAATTTTTTTTTTTCTGTTCTATCTCAATTATATAGGTATCTTTATTTTTTGCACAATAGCACTGATTGACTGATACCCATTTCTATCAATTATAAGAGTGCTTTACCATTAGTTAACTTTTAATCCTCTGTGAACAGACATATTTAGGGTATTTTAGAGATGATCATAGTTAATAATATTTGTTGTCCACCAAAAAATGTAAGTATTCGTTTCTTGAATCATTGCCGTCTTATTAAAGATATAATATTACTTCTCTTCGAGTTGTCGCTTTCCAGATGAAAGAATGTAAGTGCATTTTCACGGTGAAATACCTCCATTCTGTAATTCTACCACTAACTGACCGTTACGCTTTTCCCAGTAAAAATTTCATCGATTTTTCATCTGACCATACAAAAAAATCGGCTCATTTTTAGACTAAAAATATTGCATTCATATTCTTGTAAAGAATTGAGTTAGTTGAGTCCATCTTGCAGCCTCATTACGGAGTTGCGTTCCTTCGTTTGGGAAACGACAAAACACAGACAGGAAATCAAGATACAGTCAGTTCTGACATGTTCACATCGAAATCCAAACTGAGCAGAACTACTGCAGATACTAATGAAAATTTCACCAACAGTGAAATGATAGAAAACTTGGGAAAGAAATCAAGATATCTAACAAAAATGTATTCAGGGTACACTTTTAACCTTCCTGTGTACAGCCAACTTAATTAACACAAGGTAAGAGGGTGTGGCATAGTGTCTATTCACTAAAGGCAGGATTGCCCGAATCTGGTTGGATTGCGAATTAGTCTTCGTATGACTTTATCTTGAGTTTCTTACTGTTTAAGTAAGTTAGTATGAAGATTCTTTTTTTTTTATTCTCTTTGACTCTTTGATGCCTACAGTTATCTTTGTAAACTGATGTAGACGCTATTAGTGCTGATGTCAACACAGGAATTCTCTGTTACATTGAATTGGATCCAAACAGTAGCAATAACATGACGTAGGTACCCTCTTTCAACGCTACCAATGAGAATAAATTGTCATCTTTTGCTTTTCTGTAACATAGCGCTCATAGCGTCTATTTCACTAGACTTTCTCTGATCAGGCCAAATCTTCTATCAGCAAATGGACTACTTGATAGAATTAAATTTAAAGCACTACAAGTTATGTCTCCCTATCAAAATTTTACAAAGAACATGTTAAATATTTTTTGTAAGCTCAAAATCAATTAGGAAACAAAGAAATTGGTCTTTAAAATTTATCTGAGCGCCAGTAAACTCAAACTGCCTGCTCGTGTCCAACCAAAACTGACACAAGGCAAATCAGGCATTAAAAATGAACTCACCATTCTACATTGAAGTCCAATCTTGGACTCTAAAGAAACTTTTTTACCCTGATTTTTTATTTTTGTACATTTTTCAAGTAAAACTCAGTTCTCAGGGTACATTATTTAGTTGCCAAGAGCACAAAATCAGTGAAATTAGTCAATTTGATGCAAGTACACTATGGTTTGTTGGGAATTGACAAATAAAGAAAAAGCTGATCGAAAAGTTGAATTTTGAAGTTTTTTGTGCATATTCCATGTCTCATGTGAAATTTGTATGAGGGAAATATTAATAGCAGTGCTTAATTTTCTATCCTATCTTGTGGTTCATTTGCTTCTCGGTAGGAAGCCACATACCACGTGTTGTTCTTTCTAACCGTTGTCTCTCTTCTTTTTGTCAGCTTGATGGAAGGTCCAGCTGCCTGTGAAAAAAAAATATCCATTAAACTATAAATTGACAGTGAAACTCCCAAACAAATTATCTTGATTGCTGTGTTAAAAAATCTCCGCTTCTATTTTAATTTTTTGATGGAGAATAAATCAACATTATTTCTTGAACTTTTTTCAAAATTTGCTTCACATTAAGAAAAAAAAATCACGGAAGTTTTTCAGAATTGACGTTTAGTAGTCCTCTGTTTAAGAAATAAAGTGTGATGGAAAGTCTGTCACAACGCAAACCGAGATACGTAGAGTTTCACTGTCGAAATGCATTTAATGACTTTTAGACATAAAAATTTATTTTTGTAAAATTTGGAAAACATGTCTTCTAAATTAGCATGCGGTAACAAAATTTTTGCAAAGTTCCCGAAAAATTCAACGAAACTGCCTGTAAAACTAACAAAAAGTAATCCTTATTCCTATATTATTCTGTGTGAGTAGCTCACGTAAACCTGGCAACAGGCGATTTATTGCTCCCATTTTATTGCGGTTGCACCTTCGCTTTCGACTGCTGCTCAGTCGCTGTTTCAAACTTAAAGTTGTTTTATTTTTGTTTTTGTTACTCGCTACTAATTTTAAGTATTCCGTAAGGCAGTTCGAATACACGGTAGTTGAAATAGTTGAAATTAAAAGGTGTACATTAAGTTTTTAATGTTAGGTTAAGTGTAAGATAGATGTTATCGCATTATGTACTCTCATTTTTTTAGTATTTAAATTTTACTCTTCAAATTAACTGTTGAAAGAATATTATCAATTGAGCGTGGGCATTCGTATTTTTATATCAACTAGAGAATTTAACTTTAATTTTAAAGTCTATATTTTATCCAGTTATCTAATCGTAAAATTAGGTCTGTCGACAGTTTTGCACTGAATCTGAGCCACTGGCAAGGAGCATTTTGAAGGCACTCATTTTGACAAAAATTCAACATCAGAAAGGATCAGTCTCATCATAATCTTTCGATAAAATTGGTTCAAAATCCACACAAGGAACAAACTAAAATGTTGGTTTTTGCACTGTTGACACAAACGTGAAAAAAATACATCGTTTCTAGATTAGTGAAGTAAAATGTCTAATTCGGAGCATGGATATTTTTGGCTTAAATCTACATAGTGCTTTTGGAAGAGACCTATCTTTTGCTTGACATGAAATAGGTATTAGCAAAATTTATGGATATCCCAATGTTGATTCATTTCAGAGAAGGTTCACTTCCGAAAACCAAAACATTTTTCAGACAAATCAAAGAAAAAAGTATTTTAATCTGTTTTTTTTTTTTTTTTTTTTTTTTTTTTTTTTTTTTCCAATTTGGATGTAATCATGTAAAACACTGCATTAAGAAGGATTCAAATGGATTGTATTTGAGAGACAGTGATCCTTTTTCAGTTCACTTGAAAGCTCCAAGTCATTGGGCGAAGATTCTTTGTGACTATATTTTTCTACTTTTTAGCAGCTTCTGTTCTTTTTAAATTATATGCACATCGTGTTTGCACAGAATAGCTCAGTCAGAATTTAGTAAAACGAAAATTGTTTTAAAATCAATGTGAAAGATTTGGCCTTGAATTCGTCTGCACAATGATTTCACCCTAGGAATTTTTAGATGTACAAGAATGGCAATGTTGTTCTGATTGAGCTGTCTTGTGGTTTTGTTTTCAAGCTTTAAAATTTTAACTCCTGAAGATCTCAAGTTCTTCTATCTTGACCACTCAAAGCTGGAAGAGTCAGTTAATTTATGCCATGCTTGGAAAACTTTGGTTTTTGACCCACCTTTAGAGTTTTTTGTTTTTCTCCAGTGTTCAATTCTGTCAGAATTCTTTCTCAAGAATGTTCCTAGTGGCTTTTCAGAGTCTCACAAAAGTGGTGTCTAATTTTGGAGTTGTTGGAAAACAAAGGTTTGGCTCAAACAGCAAGGATGTTTGACCACAATAGTAACAGGTGACACAGTATCTAACTGGCAAAATGTAATGTCTTAGCACTATACTCCCTTTGTTTGATAATGAGAATGGAATAAGCTATAGACTAATAATCAAGATTTTGACCTCATTGCAGTCCATGCTGTCAGGCCTTCCTTTGACTCCAATCCCTAAAAGACCAATTCTTTTGAAACATTACTGAGCTGCTTATTCTTAGAAAAACAAGTGTGTGAAAGAAATTCCTTCACTTTTCAGTCCATTGAGCTGAAGAGATAATTATTAATTTGCTGTTAATTGTTGAAGGAAAGTGGACTACTGTAAAATTGTTGATGAATAAAATTATTATTGTTACTCTAAATTTTTTCGTTTTTCTTTGATTCAAGTTTTGAAAAATTAATCCGTTAATTTCGACGGCAATTTTTTGATTAATCTTTGGACCAGAAACATCCGCGAGACCAAATAAATTCTTGCGCCTCACCCTCAAGATCACTTTTTCCATGAATGTATTAAAATAGCAGAGAAGTGGAAAAGGTACCCTACGACTAGCATACTTGTCTCACCCTCTCCTTCTCTAATATCCAAGATGAATCCACACAGGTTAATCATTCCCATGAACGAGTTTTGAGACCCTATTGCGCAGTGAGGCGGGAAGTTTAATGCGATTAAAAAAAGAGAATTGAGGTGGAAGAATGAAAAGAGGAGATGAAATGAGATAGGTCTTTTTTATTGTGTGATGCATTTGAACACAAAAACTTACATGATTTTACAGTACATATGTGATTCTAATTGTGGTAGTTCCAGGTCAGAGATGAGTTTATGTTAAAGCTCCTGGATAAACCCTGCCATTAACTCTTGATCATTTTTAAACTGAGTTTTGGGCTAGAATGAATAGATAATAAAGCTAAATTTTGTTCGAATTTGAGTGGGATTGAGTATATTATATCTGTAAATGATACAACTAAAGAGCACAGAAAGTTGTTAGGTCTCTTATGTTGAACTTGCAATAATTTACATCACAGCTTACAAATGAAAAACTTCAGAATACAATTTCCCTTGGTAGGTAAATTCAATGAAGTAAAAAGGCAGTTGTAATTGAATCAGTGAGTTCGAAAACACACAAACTCGATAACTCGAAAATGCGCAACTTTCATTAAAGACTGTCAATTTTTATGAAGGTCATTGAAGTTAGCGCATCTGTTCCAACTTGGATCTTGTCCGTAGCCTGTCTTTCGGCACTAAACATTTTTTTCTTAGACTACTTTCTTCACCTACTGTGCAGTTTTGTGTAAGTCTTGATTACTTTCATTTTTCCGAGTTGGTGTGTTTTCGTTCTCACTGATTCAATTCTTTAAAATATCAGAAACTTTTGACAACATTCTTTGGTACATTTATTCAGTAAAATTCAGATTTCTTATCCAATTTCGCCATTGAGACAGGCGCTCATTAAGTAGAAATACCCAGGAAAGTTAAGGAAAATTATTTGAGGCTGCCCTAAATATGGTGGATTGCGCACAACAGAACATTGGGCAGGCGCGACATATCAACTTGATGTTAGCTTAGAATCGCTTGGATAATATTTCCAACACACAAAGTTGATTTAGTTAATCCTGCTGTAAAATTTGCAAAGGTACAAAACATGGCTTGACAATTGATGCAATGAGCTGGCAGCCATTTAAAAATGAAAGTCTATTTGCAACTATTGGGTTCGCAAAGTATTTTGACTCAAGTAAATTTTAAACAGCAAATTAAATTTAGCAGAGAAAGAGCTCATGCTTTGACCGAAAATTTGTTAAGAGAAAAAGATTAAATAAATGTTCTGCCTTGCAGAATGCTTATCATGGTTTCACCGGACAAAGTTCCTATTTAAAAATATTAAGTACGAAGTACAGTGCATGCTTTCACGAAATCATGAAATGTGTTCAGAATTGCCACAACTTGGAATTGAACGTGAAATAGAAGCAACTAATGTCATTGTTTTTCCTACTTCATTTCCCTTTTTATATGTTAAATGTGGTAAATTTTTCAAAAGCCCATTTTCATTTCTCACCTGAGAGATTATGAGGTGGAAACGATTGCATAAATTTTAGCTTCCCGCTGAAAATTTGCAGAATATTTTCTGCAGAGGTTTATGAACCACATTTCACTCGTCTTTTTAGTAGGAGGTAAAGAGTTATCAGAGAAGAGATTTTAAAACAAGGTTGGAGCTATTATTTCGCAGAAGAACTCACATCGTATAAGTTGGCAGCTGTTAACTTTCTGTTTGCAAGCGGCTGAGCTGCAGTCGTCCGATAGCCATTAAGGATTGACCGCTGGTAACACTGCTACCATGCGCAGAGATGTAAATGGGTCTACTAAGCGTGACGGTCAAAAGTGAAGAGCTGCAAAATTATCTGATGGGAGTTCTACCTGGATCACGAATGATTGATAAATTATTATTGATATTTGGTTCGATCAGGATGGAAGGATGGATAGAGCAATTAAGGACAGGATCATCCAGGGCAGGAGAGCCATCGCGATGCTGAACGGGGTGCTCTGGGATCAGAGCATCTCAAAGGCAAACAAGCACCGGATATATGATGCCATCGTTAAAAGTATCGTGCTCTATGGTAGTGAAGTGTGGCCTTTGACGAAAAGAACGCAAGAAATGTTGAGGGCAACTGAAATGGATTTTTGGCGGCGATCTGCCGGCATTTCGAGACGGGACCGTGTCCATAATGAGAGAATTCGCCAGGTGATGAAGGTTGAGAAAGATATCGTGCACGACGTCATGTCCAGGCAGTTATGCTGGTATGGACATGTGCAAAGAATGTCGGAGGAGAGGTTGCCCAAACAAGTTTTGGATTGGGTACCACCTGGGAAGAGGCGACGGGGACGTCCCGTAAAGGGTTGGCGGCAGGGCGTTGACGAAGAGATGTTGCGGTGTCAGTTGCCCGATAACCTCTGGGAAGACAGGCATATGTGGCGTTTGAAGGTCGTAGAACGCCAGAGTGCGTTGTAAAGCGACTTTAATATATATATTATTGATATTCCATTCTTACATGGTAAAAAGTGGGGAAAAAGAAGACTAATGGAATACTTCCCACAGTATCGTACACACCATGTCCAAAAAATGTGAATACATCTTTCCGATATACTTCTGTGTGTGATGATGCAGCTACAATTTTCACAATTTAAAAAACAAAATGCATAAATTTATGCAAAAACTAAATAGACGGTGATAGCTAGAGCCACTCAAGAGGTATAGTTCTGAAATATAAAAACAATTTACTAAAAACGTAAGTATTAATAGTGTTTGTGCTGTAATTAGATTTATTGTCTCTTTTAGAAAATATAGATGAAGTAGAAACACAGGATTTGCAAATTTAATCTTGGCAAGATCCTCTCATACTAAAAAAGTGAGGTCTTGGATTAAACTATTGATAAGACTTGTGGGGGAAATTGGGGAAGAGAGTATAAATTGATGGGTGCATCATAAGCTTAACCTTTGCCCTTTCAAGTTAGCTCGTTCCCTTTTATAGTAAAATTCAATTGAAATTTGATTAAATAATGTAAAAAATGCGAAGAGGAAAAGGAAACGGCCAACTTCTGGGAATATAAGGCCATAGACCTTTCAGCTTGGTCGTAAAAGTTTTGCAAGTTGACAGGTTTGGCAACTATTCAGATTATCTAAACCTAAAATCTCCGTTGTAGGCCTGATGCGTCTTTTAGATCATGCGAACACATTTTTGTGAAAATCGAACAGGTAAAATACTTTAACTTTCCTCAAGATGTGTCTTTTCTTGGTTTATACTTATCACTTCAAATAAACATTTACTTGCCCAAAAAGTCTAGAGAGAGCAGTGAGATGATGGATTAAGTACAAGTGAATGAGACTAAAATAATTCTCTCACTTAAAGTGAGGGAAAAAATCGAAAAAGTGGGAAAAGATGGCTGTTTACAAATAAATTTACCCTTAGTGGATGTTCAATTAGAAAAAGCTTTAGAACTAACTCTAAGTAACAAAGTAATAAGAGTGATGGTCTACTCTAACAATAATTATTGACCAGAGTAAGTTAATAAACTGATCACTAGAATTTCACAAGAATTCCGTAAAATTTGCATAAGAAATTGATAATAATATACCGGTGTAAAACAGTAAAGTATCGGTGAGATTTATTCTATAAAATTGAACAAATTGTTCATATGAAAGGTGATTTGTACCAAACTTCACTTCGAATCGGGGGCTTCTGACAACTTCATCCTCTTCAAGCCTAAAAATTCACGTACAGAACTTTTGCATTCATACCAACCTCGCTACATGCAAAACGAAAAATAAAGTACTGAACCTAATATTTGTTCATCAAAGCTGATTGTAGGTCAATTTCAAAAGACTTAAAAAATTAGCTGAAAAACATGAAAAATATTTGTACCTGACAATTTAGAAAATTGAGCTTCACTTATGGCTTGCAACTTGCAAATGAGAGTTAGCTTCCAACAATAAGTATTTGGGCTAAGACCCATTAAAAGATGATAAAAGATCAATTTTCTTTTTTTAAAAATGATTGAAGTGATAATAACTATGAAATTTCAAGAAGGAAGATACAGAAAAAACATGTTAGAGAATCTTTTTATAGTTGCTCTGATAGAAAAAACCATCTCAGTAACATCATTATGTAAAAGAAAAAAAAGGAAAACTTATGATAAGTCGACTCATCCATTGTTTAACGCAAAGAGCATAAGTTTATGACGAACAATTTTATAATTTTGGTATGCAAAATCTCTGCTTAACTGATCTGCTCTTTCGTTAGACAGATCATTGATGGCCGAAGGGCGAAACCTCGTACCTCAATTGCAGCATGTTTTAATTTCCGCTCCAATCTTATTTTCACATGGAGAAACAAGCCAACTTTATAGCCTGAAATGTTTACAGAATATCTGCTAACTAAGATGAAAATTCAAGGAAATTTTCAAAAAATTACATTGAATGATTTCCCAAAGAAAAACTAAAGTATAATAGGAAGTCTACAACGTTGCAAACAGAGATACGAGGTTTCGCATTTTGGCCATTGTCATACTTGACTTGAAGAATCAAGATACGAAATGCACTCTTGCATGAAAAGTCAAGGACACTTTAACAATAGCTTTTGAGAAAAACTTTAAAACATTAAAATTGCTCGCTTGAACACACCATAACTACTTGTAACACTATTCAACAATGAATTAAAACTTTTCCATGGATCACACAACAATAAAAATAATCATAAAAAAACATAAAAATTAAAAATCACAAAAATATACAGCCAAAACTTGGAGTTTCGGATAAAAAGAATAAAAAAATATAATCAAACTATATTCCATGATGATGTGGGCAAATAAAAGTAACGGAAGAAATGAAAAAGGAAGCTGGAAACTAGTTTACTTCTAGGACTATAGATATTTTGACACTACAAATATACAGATAAAAATTATTTATTACTACCAAATCAACGAACCTTCAAGAGAACCTAGCAAAAGGATTAACGATTGACGGTTCTGCTATCATAACAAAAATATTTGTCCTGTTCCCTAATTGTTAACCCTTTGCAATTTATCAGACCTGACCCGACAGAATTACATTTTTCCACACTTGAATTGTTGATCAGTCCTGACTAGATATAGAAGTTCTGAAGCTTTCAGCTCATATACCAGGCCCCTCCCGATTCAAAAAATTTTGCTGCAATCTTAGCAGTTGCCGGGACAACAACTAGGAGGATTGGCGAGCTAAAACCATGCAATTACTTTATTCACAAGCTTTTGAGAGGTCATACAACACCTAATAAAAGGCTAAGATTCATTATCAGTTGGTAAGGTGAAAAGGGAATTTTTTTCTGCGTGCGAAGTGGTAATAATCTATAGAAGGTGCATAGATGAAAAAAATTCCTTCGTAATTCTCTTTCAAAGTTTAAAAGGGAATACATCATTCATACACTTTTTTGGTGTTTTCATCCAGATCAAGGTCAGATAAGTTGCTGATTGAATATAGCAGTGTTTTAATTTTCCTTAGAATTTGTATCAGGTGAGGTAGCAATTGTCCACTTTCGATTTCCTAGCCATTGTGTTGCAGTTGTCTAATAGCCATCAAGGATTAACAACAAGCGACAACGCTGCCATGTGCAAAAATTGATCTCTTGCGCGTGACAGTCAAAAGTAAACTACTGCCAACCTTTGTGACGCGAATTCTAAACATCAGAGCTTATGCTATTTTTTCAGGGAACAAAAACGCAATGTAAAATCGGATTGATACAAAATCCGGGTATAAGAAGAAAAACTTAAAATCCAGTAAAAAGAGTTTCATACTCCAACTTATTAGGATTGTACCTTGACTGCCTATGGCACTTTCTGGACATTTTACATTTGTATTTCAACTGTGGATGCGTGGATGGCACCTGCTGGGCTCTACACTAGCAATAAAAAAATTAAAAAAATTGCAGTTAACATCAAAATTTTAAAATACTTCAGAGGTATTTCCAAAAGATACACACTCATTTGGATTAACTTAGCATGAACTTGGTTCCTTGCTCAGTTATTGAGTAAAACATTTGATGTGCACTATTTTTTAAGCAATGAGTGGATAAAGCTGCAGAAAAGGATTTCTCATGGAGTACCAAGAAATTCTAAGATTTTTTGATATTCCTTGTGATTTCCTGAGTAAGATGAGCTCTTAAAATCGAACATTCTACAGGCAAATCTTGAGACAATCAGGTCTGAAAATTGCTCTACGTTATAATGCGGAGAAGTGGCACTGTCACCGTGTCGAAGATATGAAGCTTTTTTTTAACTGAGCCCACACACCGTCTTCTCTTCGCAATCAGTGCAAGAGAAGGCTTGCTTCTTGCTCAATTACACTTTTCCACTTGATAATGCATGTAAAACTGCTAAAAAATGCACTTTTCAGACCTGATTTTCCAGAGGTTGGCACGAAGGAGGTTTGATATTGAGATCTCATCTTATTTAGGGGATTGTAAGGAACATAATATAAAAATATCTCAAAATTTAGCCGACCCCGAATTTCTTTGTATTCTAGGCATAGTCCTGTGGAATTAACCTGCATTTTCTGTATTGTTGCGGATGAATTTGACTGATTTCTTTGTTGCAACATTGATTTTTTTATTCAAAATCAAGTTATGAAAAATCCTAGAACTATAATCTTTGATAGTTCAGTGTGTTCTTTCTGACTAAAAATTTGACAATAAAGAAAGTAAGTAACACAGACCAACATAATTTAATAACATTCATGCAAAATTGCACTGTAATTTTTTTCCTTGGCTGTAACTTCTTACTTGATACTTCAATGATTTGAGCTTTCACAAGATAGAATCTGCATAATTTTGTTGCATTAACAATAGGCATAAATAAAAGGCAATTGGGGCTCTTAGATCACTGTCCCTGAACCCCAATTGTACAACTGCAGGGGCCAAATTTCGGACTTGAGTTCTCAATATGCTACAAAAGTAAGGATGTTACAAAACGTTCCTTCAAGAATCAACAGAAATCCCAAAACCTGTCCCACTGGTAGATGGGATTAGTGCAGTGCTGCCACGTTTCAAGTAAAATTCACCTAGTTTTCATTGCTTCTATAGGGAAAATTGGAGAATTCTCCATAAAAATGGCAACGCTGAAATTAGAGATCAATAAGAGAGCAACAAGATAACAACAAACAAACAGAAATTACAGAAAAATAAATTATCAAGTTGAGTATACTGGAAAAAACCCAGCTTTACAACCCTGAATGACCACTAATTACTAAGTGGTTTGCGTTGATTGTATTTGACTTGCCGCGGCACAGTTAGAATTTAGGTATGGACAATATGGATATGCCGCTCCTGACATAATGCACAGCGACAAAACCCAAGTTGTTTGATTGACAACTTTGACCGCATTTTTGTGCTGGTGAGAGTTCTAGAGCAAGAACCAGGGTTCTTTGGTGAGAAAGGATGATCTTCTGGAGTTTTTAAGATAGCTCTCCAATAGGAGCATTTTGTAACCATAAATCATGGATGAAGTTGTAAAGACAATCACTCACTGACACCTGCAAAAAAAAAAAAAAAAAAAAAAAAATTAAAAAAATTCGTGAAACTGGATTGAAGATAAAAAAAGATTAGGTTGGAGAGAAAAATTATCTTGGTACAGCCTCTTGTAAACTGTCAATTTAAAAGGTAACTGAAAAAATTAATATAGAAAACGACCAAACTAAGATGCTTGCAGACAAAATAAAAGACATCTACAAAGCGTTGATACCTACAAAAATGATTCAAGAAGCATAATTTGGCTTAACATTGAAAAAAAGAGGCAAAATAGAGGCAAGCTCATTGAAGTAAATTTAGAATAATACCCTAATCTCAACTGCTGGACTTGTTGAATAAATTAAAAGTTTCATAGATGGCGCGTGAAAATAAGTTCACTTATTTCCTGCTAAATCGGTCATACTGATGTCAAATAATCATAGTTACCAGTCGGTTTTGCGGTGTGATTCAATCATGATGTTCAACGATAGGAGCACTACCCGTGGAGCTAATTGTGAATTTAAGTGTTGTGAATGCGACAGCCAGTTAACGCTTGCGTCATGATAACTTCCAGTAATTTTACTTCATAGCGGTTACATTTGGCCGGTTTTTTTGCAAGTTTCCTCAGACTAGCAGGAATGTTCCAAAACATAAATTGGCAGGAAGTGTATGAAATGGACTATTTTTATTTACCTTATAAGGAGTTGGATTTAAATTGCGTTTGTGATCTTGTCTTAACGTCAGAAGCGAAGTCTGAACCCTCTGTCTCACTTGATCTAGCGTTGGTAATTCGCACTGAGTTTTTCCGTCCTTCCAGTAGCACTAAAAACATAAAATTTCAAGCTGATATTGACACCATAATAGCCTTTGCACATACAAGGGGTGTTCCAAAAATCTTGTAATTAACTAAACTGGACATTTCCAAAGTTTCTTTGATTTTTATTTAACAGAGTACTGAGCGATTTTTATTTAACAGAGTACTCAGCAACACAGAAACTTGAAAGTTTGAAAGTAAATACTTTATTATCTAGGGTACATTCACAGAAAGTTTTTAAGGGCTATAGTTTAGTTCTTTCTTAAGAAATAAAAGATGAGAGAAAATTAGACAACACGAAATGCAGTAATCCCAATTTCAGGTAAGACCTTCCAAATAGTAGTCCATCAGGGGCTTTCGGAAAGCATAGAGAACATAACTACATATTAGAATTTTCCGAAGATGTACAGCACTAAAAACCAGTCATGACGTTCCCAGGCAAAGATAAAATATTCCACATGGCAGATAGCTTACCTTATGAAGATGTTCCACTCTTCGTGGGGTAACGTGAACTCTTTTGGATTCCTCGAAGGGATGTCGACACAAAACCCTATGCCCCACTTCCGGAGGATCTTCATCTGATCTTTGAAGCAAGTCTATGAGAGCATGACCTGTGATAAAATTAAGAAGGACTCAAGAATGAGAAAATTAAGAACAGTTACTTAAGACAACAGAAACAGACATCTCGATATAAGGAAGATAGAGAACTGAGTAAGTCAGCAAAAGTTAAGATTCTACATTGCTAATCCAGTGCATGGACCAAGGGCTGAAGTTTCAAAACTTTTATCCAATTATTCCATGAGAGAGTATTTTTTCCCCTTGTGCCTCACATTAATGTTTGTTAACATCAATTTCTTTCAGAGATGATCAGGTAATTCATCTACATTTTTTGTCACCTCAAATAAAGTAAGTTATGTTTCTTACTGCAGATTACTTTCTGGGGATTTTGAAGAGTTTACCGTTTTGCCCGCTTTTCAACCACAAAGGCCAACTTTTCTCCGGTCAATGTCTTTCCTATTCAACTTACTCATTCAGCTTTGCAACTTGTTGTAGAATAGTGGTATGAGTTCTAAAATAAGCAGAGTTAATTTTTGCGCAAAAATGAGATAATTTTATTACCTTCAACACCATACAACCGATAAGCAGACTTGCAACCAGGCATCGTGACTTTTGCGACATCATGGCTAAGCTTAATGCGGGGAGTTCCATTAATTTCGACTAGCTTGTAGACACAACCTAAGGCAGGTTGTCTCTGGCATGTAACTGAAAAGAAACCGATTTAGTGTGATTTAATTCTAATGCAATACAGCTTGATTGATCATAAATGAAGGTAGAGTTCAATTGATAATACAAAACCTTTGTCTCAACGGCAATTAAAAATATGGTTATGATCAAATATAATTTAATTTTTTTGTTCCAACAAGTGCCGACACTCACGATCAAATCACTTTAACAGCTGGCCTTGATATTGGCATATTATTAATATCAAACCATTTCACTGTCAAAAATACGAATTCAGAGTAAAAAGAAACTTGCATTATTCAAATTTGTATCATACAGACTGCTGATTGTTGATTATTGAAATTGATAGACAAAACTACAGACAAAGAAGACATAGGGTGTATGGAGCGATCCTATTGGTTGAAATGGGTGGTTCCTATAGACAAAGGGAGAAAATGATAGACTAACTGTCGGGTCTCTCGTAAGTTGCCGTTACTTAGTCTATTACCTACCTCCTTTGTCCATTGCAACCACCCGCTTCCACCAATAGAATCTCTCCATATCTCTTTTGTCTCCATTGTCTGTAGCTTTGTCTATCAATTTCAATAATCGGCCCGCTGATAATGCCACTGATCGAACAATACTCACAAGAAGTAATGCTGCGGGGAATCTAGATTTAGGGTTAATATTCATCTGAAAAATTGCTAACAGCCAGGGCGTTTGCAAAGAGACAAGTTCAGCCTGAACAGGGAAAGCATGGAAAATTCAAGAGGTAGAGAGAAGAGACTCTTGACTCTTCAATCCTGTTTTAGTTGGTAGGTAAATAACAATCACGCCCCTTGATATATATCTGAAAGTTCATGCTTTTAAATTTTATCAGGCTTTTTCCATATTCAGCCTAGTCCTGGTTCTAGTTAGGCCACATAATTAAGTTTCTACTGCATTTCAGCGAGAAGGACACAAAGCGTTTTGGACATATCGACGGTGAAACTGCAAAAATACTTATCTCAGTTGCAATGTTTCAAAATTTTCACTCCTACTTCATTTTTTGGAAAGAGATCAAACCGTTATCTTGGGTTGAACTTTTATTAGCATACTTCCCACATAAACAAGATAAAACACCAAAATTTTCGAGAAAATACAATTAGTAGTTCATTATGTAGAGAATAAAATAAGACACGAAGTCTTCAATGTTGCAAACTGAGATTCTCATTTCTGCAGTTTTACCAAGAATAAGTTCGTAAATAAATGAAAAAAAAATATAATAAATCAGCACTTGAAATCTTTTGAAAAATGTCTACATAAGTTACAAGCCAGCAACAAATGTCATGTGTTTATAAGGAGCCTTTTAATTAAAAATAGGAAAATATGCCATTAAGACGCAGCTGTTATGTGCGCTATTAAGATGATGAATTTTCCTTACCCAAATGAGTTCCAATTCCAAAACAATCTATTTTGTGATTCTGCTCATTTAGGCTCAATATTGTTTCCTCATTAATGTCATTGGAGGCAACTATCTCCAACTCTGAGAACCACGGTATATTAAACCTGCAACAAAAATTAAAATATTTCAATCAGAACCTTCTTATTTGATTTAAACATTAAGGTTCTCATACTTTCTCACAATGGATCTGTTGTCGTCGAAAAAATCTTGAAAAAATCCACAATATTAGATGAATCTTTTTGATCATAATTAGGACAGAAAATTTGGCACTTTCTTTCCTTTTCCAGCTCTTTTGTTGAGTAAATTTTGGATCATAGTAAAACTTATATGATTTTGCTACTTGGAAAGGTTATGAAAATTTGAATATGATTATAAGTGTCGGTTTTTATAAAACTCGAAAAGGCATGACCAAAAAACTGTGATTTCTGAACTACAAGGTGCATTAGAGAGTGTGACAAATCACTGGATGACATTATTTGCTAAAATAGAATAGAATTCATTTATTTTTGCAGGCAGTTCAGTTGACAAAATTCAGGATCAAAGCTATTTTCGTCCAAGTCAATCATTAATTCTCTGAAAATTTACCAGCCCCAGCAACAGCAACATAACAACAGAAAAAGCAGAAACAATATGAAGATTTGGAATGTTTGGATGTATCGAAAGGGAGAACTCACTGATTGGCAACTTTCTGAAAGACTTCATGTGCTTTATTTGATAGATAAGCCAAATCACCGCTGTCAATCCTGATTCCTATTGCGCGGTAACCAAGGTCACTCAGGGCCAGGGCAACAGCGCAGAAGTTTATTAAGCCGCTCCTGTGCAACAATGACAAAGAAAATTTAGACACAATTAATTCTGCCTAAAAACTTAACTGAATAACATAAATTTGAGGGTTTGCATTACAGAAAGCTCTCCACAGAGCTAAAACACAATGATGGACGGGGCCACTCATATAATAAGTTTTAAAGGGAGCTGAGTCTGCTTTAAGGGGGGGAAAACATTCAGGGCTGTATGATGTAACGCTAGAAATAGCGCATAGCGCCGATTTGTCCAGCATTCTGAGAAAAATCAATGCAAGGTGGCAATTTATCATCCAAAACGCTAACTTGAGGGGGGTGGGTCAAACTGAGCCATGCATAATTTTTTTAGGAAGATGCAGACCTGCCTCATGAGTGCGTTGCAAGAGAGAAAAAGGGTAAAAAAATTCAATTTTCAGTGTTATATATTTCATGAACGACCCCGGGAAAAAAACAATACAAGTTACCTTTTAACATCATAAGTATCCACAAGAGCCATGAAACCATCTGGAAAAGCAATTGCATATGATACGAGGGCTGCCAGTTCTCCATCTGATGCTTCATTTGATGAAAAGTTCAAAACAGGAAGTATCTTATCTCTCCATTCGATACAGCGATCCAAGAGGTTTTCTTCCTGACCGGTCAATCGATTTAGAAGCATCTGTGGTGAATAATATTTAGTATTAGTGCTGCAATCAAACTAAGTGTCAAAAGACTCTATTTTTAAACTAGTCTTTCTCTTTACATTTTTTAAGCAAGAACCTTCAAGAATGACTTCAGAGAAGTGAACATTTTTAATTCAGCTGGGACTTCAGCACTTATCTCACAGTTTTGTCCGCTAAAATTGTATAACTTATTTTGCAAGGTTTGAATTTTGTCTTCTTACTACATATTGCGTTAAATGTTGAAAAATTTGTTATGTTTTTCTTCTTTTTAATGAAAGAATCATTCAACAAGAAAGACTATATGAAAGTAATTAAAATAAAAAGTGCAACCAAATATGAGACATGCATGTAATAAAATATTTTTACCAGCAAAAAATGCAATTCAACAAAAATAAAAGGCATATATGCATATACATCTGAAAAGTGAAGGCTTCACGGGAGGGATTTTTTTCTCGGACACTGTTGCAGCGCTTTCACAGTTCTTTCAACAGACTATAAAGACCTTTAGAAAGGAAGAGGGCTTAGAAAGCTAAAAAGATGGGGGTCTTCAGCCTTCTAAGCCCCTGGGGACACTACGTCTATGCTAAAAGATAGTTTTGTGCCGTATCGTGGTCTAACAGATTTTGCTTGGTTCATGAATAAAATTCAAGCAGTTTTAAAAAGCCATGCAAATGAATCTGAAAAAGAGACCTCCAAAATAGCTAACTACAAAACTAGTAAAACGTGAATTATGTTGAATTAGAAGGAGTTTTACTTTCAGCTGAACACTGTCTACATTTTACACAGCTGCCAAATATTATTTGTTAGAAATAATGCTATGGTGAATGGTTCAGTAGGTACCAAACTTCTGCATAATGAAGAAAATAAGGGAACATTGCACAAAAAGCGAACAACAGATGCCATAAAATAGGAATATTTGATTTTCTTAAGCAAAGAAAAGAAGGGCAAATGAAACAATAAATTGCTTTCAGAGTAATAATACTGCTTAAATCAACCAAACACACGCTAACTATGAATACACCATACTCAGCGTTTGCGAGTAGATTCAGGGACAATCAGACTAATAATTTTGTCATCATGACAAGATTAGTTTGCGTGAAGTTCATAATACAGCGCAGTTCACATTTCTGAAATTTATGGGGTTAAAAACAAATTAGGTTCGAGATCTGTCGTAAAAATTTATTAAAAGCTATAACAAGATTAAAATAGGTACATAACAGACTGTCCATCTCTCTCTCTTCAAGAGGGAAAATTAAGAGTGGGTATAAACAAAACTGGTATTAAAAAAAAGAAAGAAAACTTAAATTAGCAATAGTTGATGAATTGAAATGATAGATGCTTTGCCTATTAAATATTTGTTTATTAATCTAAGAATAATTCCTTAAGGAAAAAATACATGCAAAAATGTAGATGGCGCTAAATGTGACCATACATGCATGCAACTATTCAGTTTACACCTACAATTTTGCACAAAAAAATTAGCAATGGGCGATCAACGTTTTTCACTTCTACTTAAGGACAGTTCCAACAGTTACACCATTTTAAAAAGTATAAAAAATTTTGCAAATCATTTTACCTTGTGAAAAATAAAAACAAGGGTGGTGTACACTAATGAAGGAGAACAAGACAAAAGCAATACCTTGAATAATTATTAAAAAAAGGCGAATGAGACTAATATTCTTAAGCAAGACAATTAAGAAACATGAAAAAGAAGAAAAAAAACCTTGGTATGGGGAGAGGCAGTTAAGATTTGATGATCACAAGATCAAGAATAATTTATAACTTCAGTCTCACCATGTCTTAAAACATTTTCACACACTTTCATGTAAAAAAGAGATACAGATGAAAGAGAAGTTCGACACATAGAAAGTGAATAAATGAAAATAAATTTTGCAGGGACGACTTGAATTTTTTCAAATTGAACAGACCTCTAAAAAATAAAAAGTGCTCACATCCTGCTCTTTTTACTTTAGAATCGACAGATAAAATAGGAAAAGACTTAACGTTCCTAAGTAGTGGATAAAACAAAAAGGATACTTCTCTTTTAGCTGAAATATCTATAAAAATTTGGGAGGGCTCCATGTAAATACATAAAAAAGTGTAAAAAATTTCCATGGGTTAATGAGTGGACACTGCTCACTTCAACTGACGATTCTTGAAGATTAGCTCAAGCAGTTTCTAAATATGAACGCTTCAAAACGAACAAGCAGCACAAATTATTATTTGATATCGTCATTTCAAATGGGACACAGGCTGCCGAAACATGACATCAAAGATTAATGCATTCTTGAAAGGGAATAAGAACAAAGACCAATACAAGTAAGTAAAAGTTATAGTTTGAAATTTGTTTAAAAAGTTCAATTTTTTGCCAATTTTAATTTAAGTTCCTCACTTTCTTGATTTTTCAATTACCTCCGACTCGATTCCTAGCTGTTAGCGGCAGCCTTCCAAGGTTCACACAATCACCGTAAACATGGAAAACAATCTTGGAAGATCTGCCCCTAGCCCAAAATTAGTCTGTAGTAATCAAATACTGTGCAAATAAGTACCAGAGTAACAGAATACATGAATAGATGAAGTGATACGTTTTAGCCGTAGTAGTGCAACATCAGAGTGTAAAAATTAAAATCATTATGAATTTTTTTTAAAAATACATTTTAAAGTAAATTAAAAATCAAATTTTTCTCCTTCATTCGTCGGACTTTTCACTCCAATCTTTTACTGAGATTTCTTTAAAGAAAGGAAAGATCACCCATTGCTAACCATTGCAGTGACTTATTAACAGCAGTGCTGAAACGTTAGTGCAGAATTAAAGAGGCCTACCTGTTCGTTCATCACAATGTCGTAGATATTTAGAAACCTTCGCTCAGCCAGCTAGAGTTTAAGAAAAAGGTGTGTTAAGTTTCGAAATCGTCTTGAAAATGCAAAGATAGGAAATAATTAAACAGACACTACGCTAAAGTTAAGTATCGGATACATAATTGGGAGTTTATACAGCTATACTACTTCGGAGGACCGAAGGTGATGATACAATTAATTTCAAATGATATATACAGTTGAAATTGCAGGAAAAGGAAAGCAATTTATGAAATAGATCAGAATAGAAGTAGGATCAAAACCAAAACTAAGCTAAGTTGTGACATTCTTTTCTGGGAAGAATGTAAGAATGATCTAGAGAGAAAAAATAAATCTAACAGCTTCTGTTCGGCATAAGTGGCAGGAGTTTCAACTGGTATGGTTGGTAAAAAAGATTCATACATCTTCGAAGACAAAATATATTTTTAAGCCTGATAGAAGTTTAACTTACAGATGAGAACAAAATGTGAAAGTTTACAGGCTGTCAATAAACCGATCGATTCGGTTTAACTTATTTTTTACCTTCTTTCAATTTGTGAATGCGAGTCTTCGAAAAATAATCGCATCTCGGGGGATTTTGAGTGAACTTCTTCACTTATAATTTAACCACTTTAAGCAGAAACGAACCAAGTCACATCAGCCGTTGCTGAATTTCATCAAAAAATTTATTTTTTACAGGAGAACGGTTGAGCATATTCTCTTAAAAATTTCAGGGAATTTGCTTCTTGTCACTGAGAAAATCTTCCAAAATTTTCAAAAAAATCTAAATTACCATTCTACTGTGAAACAATAAATCATTCGACATATGGGAATCGCTGATGAGACTTGATAGGTCCAATTTTTAATAAATGGGGCATTTTTTACCAATTTTTTCCTTGTGACAGTGGCTCAGAAACACCCTTGAGCAACGCATAGTTTATGGACAGCCTGGTAATATATGACTGGACTACAGTAAACGGAAAAAAATAGTTCAGACTATGACATATGATGGATTCTAAGATGACAGAGAGTGAGAAACCTGTCATTAGATTTGTAGAAAGAGAAGTATGGCATAATAATTTATGCCGGTTATGACATAAATTAAAAGGTACAGAATGAAAGAATAATGAATGCAGTTTCAACAAAACTTGCTAGTTTTCCTTTGAAAGGCCCTGTACAATCAGAAGTAATTGCCTAAAAAAACGAAAGTAGATCAGCATTTGACGCAGACATTGGTCGACAGCTTTGCCATCAATCATGTATTTAAATTTGCTTTTGGATTTTGTACTATATGAAGCTAGGGCATAAGTTTAATGCAGTTTTTTAATGTAAAAACAGCTAAGAAAAGCAGGGGAGAAATAGAAAATATTAAATGAAAAACCAGAAGAGGAATTCATCAAGTTCGAAAACCAGGGAAAAAAGAGGAGTAACAGTTTAGTGGCTCCTTGCGGGGTTTGCAAAATACTCGGCCAGAAAAGAACATTCAAGTAAAAGCTACATAGGAGATGACTGAGAGTGTGGAAACATCGAGAGTGACGGTGGAAACAATTATATCTGATTACTGAGAACAGAAAAAATTGAGTCAAGAGGAAGATGATAGATTAAGTATGGAAGACTTAGAAAGAAGAGAATTGGATTCGTAAATTTTTGAAAACTAAAATGTTAGAGCCGCTAAATTTTCATTTTATTTCCAGACCACTGATTAGACAAAGAGACTTGTCCTGATCTTAATATCTGAATGAACAAACACACCCAATAGAGAACGAGAAAAAACATCGATTGAAATGACACGGAAACATGAAAATGTGGGCTCTTGTAACAGCAAGACATAAATATTGGACTGAGGTGCGTTCGGCATTATTGAACAGTTATTTTTTGGGGACATTTTGGTTGGGTTGGAAACAATTCGTTTTTGGAGAAATATAAGCAAATAAACAATGCTTTTGACTGAGAGAAAATCTCATAGGAAAGGGAGCCATCATCAACTTACACCTGAAGAGAAAAACCTCTGAGGACGACTAAACTCGTGTGCAATGGTTGATTTTGTTGATTATTAGGTTACAGATTACACAATTTGCGGACAGTGGCAACCAACAAGATTTGGGCCCTGAACTAAGGCAGTTGAGACAGGCTGTAATTTTGTCAACGTTGACACTTGTGAAATTTAATGCATTCTTTTTAATGTCTTTGTCTCACAGGTTCATGCAGTTTTCAACTTTTATTGACCGAGCAAACAGGTTAACATGATCCGAGGGCCATCTGCTAGAAAACAGTGCTACTATATCATTTGCAAATAGATATATTTTTAAACTGACAATTAGTATGATTGAACATTTAAAATTAAAAAATTCAATGGGTAAAACATTACAGGTCATTGAGCTGAAACAATTCAATACAGAGACCATTGTTCTTCAATTTAATGAGAATTTTTGGGTACCTACTTAGAGGGGGAAAAAAATCAAATATTAAAATAGACTTGAAAGACGATTTACGAAACGTTAACTAAAATTTAAAGTAGGTATCTCTTGTGAGGAGATAATGCCTTGTGAACACATTTTTAGTTTTCTGAAGTTTTTTTGGAAAGAGGTGGCTGAAAATCCAGTGGGTTGGCTCTTGAAAAATTATTGACATTTTGTTGGAGGATTAATAATTTTTCGGACTTTATGTTCATAGATAGATTTGAATTTTTGGTTCAAGAGAGCCACAAATTGAGTTGGAATGTCTTCATGCCAAAAAATGAAGGGGAAATTTTGATGAATATTTTAAAAAGAATAGCTGCAGCTGGCTGAGCTGAGGATCTTTAAAGTGCAACAAAGAAAAATAAGACGAAAAGAAGTCAACTAAGTCAGAAAGAAACATTCGAAGCGATAAAGTCTATTTTAATATTTCAAAGGAAAACAATCAGCAGACAGATGAAGCGCATGCACTTTCTTGAGGATGAAAAAGTATTGAGGAAAACTCAGCTTGGCTTGCGCTCTCAGTGCAATGCTTTCAGGGGAAGAATGGAAGAGGCAGGGCAAAATGATCTTTTTTAATTCGGTGATTGACCTAATAAAAAATCAAGACTGTTTTTCGCTTTCAAAAAAAGCGAAAAAGAACAGAGGTTTCCAATTTTTGAAAATCAAATGGTAGGCGCTATTTGAACGGTGCTCAGCAGATAATGAGTGAAATATTTTTTTTGGGGATCAGGAGATTTTGATTATTGCTACATATCGAGCATATCTCTGTTCCCCTTGATTCAATTTTATTGAACTTCATTTCTTCCTGTTCGACAAACCCTGTTAACATATTATTCTTCCTACACATTAGCTATTTTGGAGTAGAATCGGAGAAGACTTGTATTGAAATATTTTGCATCCATTTATTTTGCTCTCTTCGTTTTTTAATTAACAAGGAGAAGTAGGTGAATTTATGAACTTTGTCTTCTCGTAGATCCTACAGGATAACTTTAATAGGTACCTACATCAATCATCAATTGATGTTTGAAAACTATTATTGCCAAAATTTTAGTGCTGATTACTCCTTTTTTATCCTTGATTCAGTGAAATATACCATACAGCCTTGAAAGAGTGCTTGGATAGTAAAATTGCGAAAGGCACCAGACAAAACACCACACTGAGCTTTAGCTCTTAAACAAAGACGAATTTTAACTAATCCAAAAAGTTCAATTTGCGACTAAAGTCCTACGTGTGCATACATAAGTAGGTCTACATAAATGGCTAGAGTCAAAAAATCTATTGTTACATTTCAGAATCTCCGATTACCTATGTTTCATTTCTTAGAGATAAAATTGATAATAATACCTCAATAAAAAATTTTATACATTAATTTTCAAGAGGAAACACTCTTTGTGCTTCTATTGAAAATGTAAGTAAACCCTAGGCAGCAATTTGTAACATCACAATCAGAGCAACGAATTTTTCTACTTTAGCCATCAATATGTAGATCAATGGTTAGTAACAGGTTTCCATCACAGTAATGACAATTAGAAGAAAGGAAGTTCTGCATGGCAAAAATCACCCTGGCTGGAGGTATTCCTCACCATCAAGAGACGTACTGAAGTAAGAGTTCAATCCAACTTTGAAACGATAGATGAAGTAAGAAGCATGATTTTGATGAGAAAATTGACACTTCCTACATAACTTCTGAAGATAAAGAATCTATTCAGGCTTCTGTCCAGTCATATCTCATCTAGCAGAGTTTCTTATGCAAAAGAACTGATTTTTGTTGATGATAGGCGATTTTTCTAACAAGGCTGGAATATTAACGAATCTATCAGGGGAAAAGCTGAAGCGAGAGATTCATGAGGATAAATAATTCAAACAAACTCGAGAGAATACAAACGAGTGTATCATTCACGAAAAAACGTACCCCAAGGGTGCACTTTAGTGATGAACCAAAGAAAGCTTAAGGATTGATAAAAACAAAACCTTTTCGAGCGATAATAAGAGTACAGAAACCTAAAAAATATTTAGTATTTGTCCAAAGTCATGAAAACTGAAAAGTATTTTACTGTTTCTACAAACTGAAAAATTGTTCTTGTAATTTAAGGACTATGTACCCGATAAACATGAGTTTATAGAAGCAGAGGTTTCTATACTACCTATTCATCATGACATAGAATTATGAAAAGAAAGAATAACCTTTCAATAAAATCTCCAAAAAACGCTGAGTTTGACCATTTATACACATCTTCTTTCCAAAGGTTAATTTCTTCTACTTTTCAGCGAAAATTTAAAGCCACTATATATTTGACTTTTACCAGTAAAACCAACTGCAAAGAACACAAAACAGACAGGGGCGAAGTATGTAATCAGAAAATTACAAAACCAAAATTTAGGAAGTGCAAAATTTACGTAAAGGAGCTTCGAAAAACCACCCGAGTCAAAACAAAAATCAACATTCATAAAAATGCTCTTGCAATGCCAATTGTAAATTTCTTAGAGGGGACAAAAAGAGGACAGATCATCGAAGAAAACAAAGATGATTTAGAGTTCAAGAAAGGCGCCATCCTTTCATCATAAAAATCATTCGAGTGCAAGTACTGCAAGTGCAAGAAAAAGAACAAACTCAAAAACAAGACCATGCGTTAATTTAACTACGCAGAATCAGCTCAAAAGAAAAAAAAGAGTACAGCAGAGAAGAAAAACATGGAGGACGAGGTTGAAGAGTAATAAAAAAAAATTGTTCAAACTTACTTTAACTTGAAGTTCTGTTAAATTGTTGAAAGACGTGATATAGGCGTGTGCATGAGTCCCTTTAACTGGAATGTTGAACATTTTACCAGCAAGAACATTACTTGTACCATCAAAACCACCTGGAACATTTCACAGGAGAGCATGTATTCATGTCCGAGAGAAATGCTCTTTTTTTTTAGATAAAGCAGCAGCTTCTGAGAAAGGGAATTTATAGTTGGATTGCATTTTGCAAAAAGGAACCACTAGCATTACAATGATGCTAAGGTTGTGCAACTTCATCCTTCACAAATAAATTACGGAAATCATGAAAAACCATGAAATTTAGTTGGTCATTTTGGTCTTAAATGTACAGTTTTTGGCGAGTAAAATAGAAACTATTTATGGATAATCGGGTTTTTCCTCCAAGACAAAAGAAGTTGCACAATCATAGCAACATTGCAATGCTAGTGGTTCCTTTTTGCAAAATGCAATCCAGTTATGAAGGCTGTAAACTGCCGCTCGTTTTTTAAAAAAATATGAACTGCCACTTGTATGTTTTTGAGACCCTAGAGAGGGGAATCTCAAAACTGCCCCTGACCATCATGGCAGGAAGCTGTAAAGAAATGGTAGCAGCAGCTGAAACAGCATGTGCAGAACCATCACTCACAGATGAAATTAAAAATCGTCTAGTTCAGGTTTTATGTTTAATTTTTTCCCCCACAAAATTGGTACAGCGTTCATGATGGCCTCTGAAAAACGAAATCAAGAACTTTTGAAGATATTTAAAAATCTTATAATTGGCAAAATTAAGGAGTTTCAAGGACGTAAAAAATTTCAGGTGGATCAGGTCCGCATCCCTTACGTACACCCTAAAAAATTATGTTATATATTGTGCGATTCCTCTTTCCGTGGAAAAAATCGGCATTTCCTAAAGATATTTTTGCTAAAATTAGCAACATTTTTTGCGTGAAATCACGCGGTGTTAGACCCTCTCTGGAAGTTGTCAAACAGGTCCTCGCCTCCTCTGTGAGCTTGACGCGCTATACAAGCAGCCTTTTTCATCTCTAAGGCAAAGCCTGAGTTGCTGTAGAGTTCCTTTTAGAAAAACACCATCTCGGGTCCTGATGTCCATGTCATAAACTGTCACAAAGATTACACAGTTCATATGATTTTCGTAATTTTGGATTAGCTTATTCCTAAAATCCTATCCTTCATCCCCTCTGTCATTCTCTCATTCAAGTTCTATTCGGCAAAAATTATGGATGGTGACACTGCATTTTGATCAAAACTGAACAGTCCATCCAATTTCGATCGAAGAAGAATGAGACCAACAGTCATAAAATGATCGATTTTGAATTACTTTTGATCGGAATTCGATCGTCTGTCGAGGCATTTTAATTTCCTCGTTCATTCCGGATTAAAATAAAAGCATCTTGTGAAAATGTAGGTGATTTTTGTGAAGGTTTGCGACACAATGGGAGCCAAAGATCGGAGACAGGGAGACGGAAGCCAATCAGAAATGGACTTCTCGTGTCTCGCTGAAAGTTGCGGAAGCTTTGCACGACGAATTGCATACCGACGGTGCGGCAGGGGCTCGGCATTGTTGATTGCCTATCCTTGAGATGACCGGCGTTCCTATCCTCCATTCCCTCTTTCCCACTCTCATTCCTATTATTTCTTGTCATCATATTTTAATTTCCTAGTTCATTCCAGTTAAAAATATTTGCAGCCCGTAAAAATGTAGGTGATCTACTTGAAGGTGTGCGACACAAAAGACTAATACGTTATAGTGGGTGACCATCGGAGACGGAGAAACGGAAGCCAATCAGAAATGGATTTCTCATGTTTGACTGTAAGTTCGCACGGCAAGTTGCATAGCGACGGTGCGGCAGGGGCTCGGCGTTGCAGATTGCCTACCCTTGAGATGGCCGACGTTCCGGTCTTGACAGCCGCGCGAACTGATAACAAATAGCCGACTCGGCGGGGGGAAAAAGGCTGATAAATCGCACGCGGATGGAGTGATTAAAAGCCGTTCGCGGCGCGGGAGCCGGAGCNGGGGGGGGGGGTGATCATGCCAGGTGCAGCGAGGAACAATCGATAGGTTGACACAGAGAGGTACCGGCTCGCTCGCAACCCGTACCCCGTCTCGTCGGAAGTTGGCGACCTTGGCGGGCCTCACACAATGCGGAGCCCATCGCCATCGATTCCGGCACGGATGTGACACGACCGGATTAATCGCCGACCGGAGGGGCTTCCGCCGAAACTCCATTAGCCCCCCGGTTCCGTGCCCCGGGAAATTCGGACGGGCGAAAATTCCGTCACGCCAGGGGCCGCCGTCGGCATCTCGCTCCGCGGCACGGTAGGACGTGAAATGCGAGCATGCGGCACGGGGGGATGCCCTGGGATAATTAACGGAGACCTAATTCTGGTCAAAGTTGGCCCTGTAGAGTCAAACTTATCGCCAGGAAGAAGAATCTAGAGGAAGGAGAAGAAGAGGGAGCAGGAACACAGGGTGTCTACTAAAACAGGCGGGCCGAAAATTAGTACTTTTATAGTGCATTCCCAAAAAATTCAGTACCTCCTCAATAGGAAAATTCAGTACTTTTTCAGTACCTCCATTTGATGAAATTCGAAAAATTTCAAATATTTGAATTTCTCGCTCAAATTGAGACAAAAATGACAAAAATTCCGGACCTTTGGCGGAATTTCCGCACTTTTTCAGTACTTCCGGCCCCCCTCAAAAGATCGGTTCTATTTCCAGACTTTCCGGAATTTCCGGACTTGTAGACACCCTGGAGAAGAAAGTGGAGAGGGAGGGAGGGGGAAAGGAAGAGGTGGAGGAGAGGAGAGAGAGAAGAAGAAATACGGAGGATTGATGAGAGTGAAAGGGCGAGGGGAGTGAGGAAGGAGCAGAGAGGAATGAGAAGTGACATCAGAAGGAAAGCCCGACCTGCGGAAAGAAAAAACGCCTTCAATTGAGAATGATACTGTGCAACACACGGAAGCTTGAATAGTTGTATCATCCCGTTGTTTACGAGATTCCGATGGTTGAAGTCCGAATCCACGGAGGAGGAGAGATATGGAGGGAGACGGGGAGAGGATGGAGAAGGAGATGAGAAAAGGGAGAGAGGAGAATGAGGAAAAAAGGAAGGAGGATAAGGAGGTGAATAAGGATAAGAAGAGGAGCACGCAGAAATTCTTACCTATGTAAGCGTACTTGGATGCGGAAAGTCCTCCATCAGGTCCTTGCGCTCTTCGAAGCCCAAACTCCAGAAGCTTTATCCTGCGACCGGCGGCCAATCTGTACCGAGCGGCATTCGTCGCCATCAAGCTGAAAAAAAAGTAGCATAGTGGTGAAAACTCGCGACTTAAAATAGTAATTTCGATAGTTGGAGTCGAAAAAAGATACATAATCTCCATTGAAATGTTTAAGTTTGAAATGATCTCCGGTCACGTTTAATTTTTTTAAGGAAATCTCACCAAAATTTCAAGAAAAATTGCCGGTTAAGTTCCTTGTGAAAAAAATGTAACAAAAGCGGGAGCTTTGTACATGGCAGGAAAAAGATAGGTTCACGAGGACACTGAAGTTTTCAACCGTAGGAACAGTTTGAACCGAAGTTATTGATACCCAGACTGAAATCCGTATTTTTTACCAGGGCCGGATTGAGGGGGTGGCCACAAGGGCCGCGGCCCATGGCGGGAAATCTAGGGGGCAGCAAATTTTGCAATTCTTTTAAATGTAGGTATAAAAAAAATCGGATTTAGAAAAAAAAAATTACAAACGAGAAAAGGCTACAAAATCTCTCATTTTCTGAGAGTATAGTAATTTTTAATTTTGTCGTCTTTCAGTTATACAAGAGACAGCACCTTTAATTAGTCGAGTTAGGAGAGAAACCAAACACACAATTTGGCCTGGACTTAGGGAGAAATGATGACGAGGACTTGAGATGAAAAGGAGAAGTCCTCGGCGCAGCGATCGGCATGTAACACATATTAGCGCCTACAAGACTGCACGAATACTTCACGCATTGCATCAAACAAAGTGCGGTTATTGTGGTCAGCGTGAAACGGATAGCGCCTACAAGAATGCATGAATACTTCACGCATTGCGCCAAACACAGTGCGGTCAGCGTGAAACACATAGCGCCTACAAGACTGCGTGAATACTTCACGCATTGCGCCAAACACGGTGCGGTCGGCGAAAGTTAAAATCATAAAACCAAATTTTGTGTTTGTTCTTTTATAATTTTTTCGATCATTTCTTATGAATGGAAGGCCTTGTCCATTAGAGATAGGTTTACGAAACTTGACTTTCGCGCAAAGTTCCGTGACTTTTTGCTAATAGTGTTGACAGGGCTTTCCCAAAAAATGTGTTCAACACGAGTAAACGCGTCTTATGCACCCCTCCCCCGCTGGCACGTTCACTTGATGGTTTTTATTGATGTTTCAAAACGAATGAGAAGGGGCGGCAAGTAGGAAAATCCGGCCCTGTTCTTAACCCAAGATTTTAGTCCAAATAGGCTTTGATTAAATGGTAAGAAAACTTTGGTTTTCCATATGAACTAAGATTCGACCCTAGGAACCCACATTTTTTTTTTCTCCGTGCGACGGACGTGGCAATCAGAGATATAATAGGTGTTTCATTTCGACTTGACCATCGGTTTTCAGAGTGAGCGAGAAGGGGTCCACAGCAGCCTGTCATCCAACGAGAAAAACCAGGATCATAAGAATCGATTAGTTCCGTGAACACTCGTCGATCCAGGAAACTGATCCCTCGGTTCAGCAAAGCGACCTCTTCAGCTGAAGGAGACGAACTCCGGTTCGGCGACGGAGGTTCAGTTTAAGCAACCGGGATGTTTTTTGGTTCATTGAGACTAGGACTTCCGTTGATATGGAAGAAGTTCCATGTGAACCAATTTTTTTCGGTTGGTTGCACAGAGCCTTCGGTTCGAGGGACTGAATCCTCGGTTGGCCGAACTACAGTTCGATTCTATCGAAAGCAAAGGGGTCGCTTTGCGTGACCAAGGACTTCACCTCCTGAATGGGAAAGCGCCTGCTGAACTTATCGGTTCGTAAAACCGACGCTTCTTCCTCAATTTACATAGATAGCCAAAGTGCGAAACAACGCATCTCCGTTCCCATTACATTACATTTTTTTGAGGAGAAACTTTACGGCTTGAGATTTATACAGAGTACTCTGCTAATAGAGAAGAAAATCCATGGACATTTTCAAGAAATTACCTTCACTGGTGTTCCAAAGAGGAAATAAAGGATGACAGGAGGTCTCCTACATTGGCAGCGGAGATACATGGTTTTGTACGTTAGCCCTCAATATGGGTTTCTAATCTCGCAGGGTATTTTTCCTTCATTGAGATGATAACTTTCTAGAGAATCTAGGCCGACAAAGTCGTTCGGCTTGGCGCAAAATTTACGTCATGTTGTTAAATAAACGCCAACATCCTCGGAATAGTTTTTATTTTCGTCCCCATCACGGTAGTTCTTTGACGGTTACATATTGGAGCTATTGTTATTGTCATGCCATTTACGATGAAGGAAATTATTTTATGAGTCGAGATTTATAATGGCTTCCTGACTTGACGGCAGTAACACATATGAAAACAAACGCCGTAAAACAAAATGATATGACTTTCGGAGTTTACTGTTCGTTCGTTTGATTTTTTTATCCTTGTACCTTTTATCTCTTATATTGAGGAGCTCGGAGGACAAGGCACAAAAGTGCAGTTTTTGAAAAATTAAGAAATTCATGAACTCAACTAAAACTAGATTGAAACTATATTCTGTGAGAAATTCACAACTAAAATTCAACTTCAAAGGATCAAAAAATGAGTTTAAACTTCCTTTCTCCCATAACCCTCTATACGATTTTGAAACTTTAAACACGTATTTCTTGCGATAGTAATAACTGCACAAATGCGCCTTGTCCTCCAAGCCCCTCAATTGTGCAAAGCGATCGCACTATTTCTTGATCCTGAACACAAAACCATGGAGAAACTCCTTACTTTTCCATTCAAACGTTTTCCAACAACTTAAAATCAATATTCCAGCGATTCACTGTATAATATGGAAAGCATTACATAGAACCATTAATATGTTTCATGGTTAAAACATGTCTTCGGAGTGTGATGCATACATGAGTTCGCAATAATTGCACGAAAATCGGATCAGCTCAGCGTGAATGGTAACGCCTGCAAGGATGCGACTATTTTGCCTCCGTGTCAGTGCATGTTGCATACGCTGAGAAATTAAGGCGCACTGGCGTCCTCTTCCTGCCAGGGTAGATCAGGTAGGTAAAAGATGAGACAATGACAACGCTACACGTGCTGGAGATGAAAGATGTTAGGAAACAGAACCTTACAAAGTTGCAACTTACCTTGCAAAGTTGACTAGGGTGAGAAAGGTGGTTTCTAACAGTTGAACGATAATTAATGGACCCTCCACTCTGATCAAGGGAACTCTGAAAAGTAGACAATTTTGTATTTTAAATGGAAGACCTACGAATGTCTTAGATTGAATACATTTTGACGCGGACGTTAAAAATGGTGTGGGCTTCTCCAATTGAAAATATTTCTCTTACTTCATGGGGTGCTTTCTCGGTAGATGCTACTCGGAGGAGCTCAAAGAGAGGGAAGACTGAGTGCCTGTCACAGGTATTGAATTACCTGCAACTTATTCTTTTCTAAACTTATAAATTTCTCATACATTTTAGATTTTTCATTTTAACTCTTTAGTCTCACTCAATCCAGTCCATTCTTCAACTTTCAGTTTTATCCTTCAACAATCTTCAGTAATGTCCTATAAAATTGCAGCTGATAGCTCCACTGATTATAGCCAGCCAATAGCCTGAAGACTTGTTGTCTCACCACCTGTGACGTCAGCAAGTCTATAAAAGCTTGCGCTTCCCATTTCTCGAGGTCCTTTTACCATCTTGACCAGTAGTACTACGTTATGCCATTTTCTCTGCTTAGACATTATTTATTCAAAGTGTGACTCTGTAATTCTAGTATTTTTCCAAATTCTTTAATACAACATTTTCGGCCCTTTAAATATTTTCTTATTTTCTGCTCTCCCACAACTCCACTTAATTTTCCGCCGCGTCAAGGATTTTTAGATGTTTTTCAGTCCGTCTAGAACTCAACAAATCCCACTGACATGACATGGTGCCGAACACCCTCTAACTGACTTTTCAGCTCAGTTCGGATCAGTTTCTACCGTTCAATCTTCCACTCACGTGCAACTGCAAAATGACTGACGAGTGATCAAGTGATTTTCCTCCACCAAATCGCTTGCACACCACCCTCACTCACAGTTTTCACAGTTCGAAGTGCCTTTTCAGTCAAGAAAAGACGAGCTGAATTCTTTTGGTTTACGGGGTTTACCCTTTTCTCCTCGTGCTATTTAGCGTAGCGAAAAAATAAAGACGATCATCACCTCGGCTCACATCCGGCGCATCTTGGAGACGCACTCCCTTGGCACTCAATTTCTCTGGCCTGACGACTCCGCTGCCTTTCTGATGTCTACCATCCACCTGTTTCTTGGACTTGTCTCATTGTCAAATATTTTCTTATTTTCTGCTCTCCCACAACTCCACTTAATTTTCCGCCGCGTCAAGGATTTTTAGATGTTTTTCAGTCCGTCTAGAACTCAACAAATCCCACTGACGTGACAGTGCCAACCTTTTGGGCATAATTAAGGCAGACGAATTGATTTTGTCGCCTTTTGGGAACTTCTGATATCCGGAGATAATTAGTTGACAAAATAATGTAACAAAACTATGGGGGCTAAAAGAGCTCTAAAAAAAACTTTGCATACGAGTTTTTAAAAACTTCTTAGTTACACGCAAAGGCGCGAACAGTTACATTTTTTGAGTAAAAATTTCATCGACTTACGAAAAAAGAAGAAGAGGACGGAGAAAGAAGAAAAGAGATGAAAGAAAAAAGAGGAAAGGGAGGAAAAGGAAGAAGAAAAAAACACGTCAGTGGTCGATCATTCTAACCCTGACTTTTGGAAAATATTCTCATTTTAAAGAAAACTGCGTATCGAATACAAATAAATACTCAGACTTTTTGGAAACTATCTTCGGCTAAATAAAAGTAAAAAAAAAGATAAGAGGACAAAAGAAAAGAGAAGAAAGAAAAGAATAGGAAGAGGAAAAAACACTGTCATTAGTCTGTCACTGTCAACACTGTCAATCATCCTAACTTTTCAAAAATATTCTCACTTTAAAGAATATTGGGGATTGAATAAAAATAAATACTTGAGCTTTTTTGGAGACTATCTTCAGCTAAAAGGAAGGTGGGAGTATGTGAATTTCCCAAATGATTGAACAAATTCAATAGCCATAGAAAGATTTTAAATGCTTAAATGTATGATGTTACGAACTGTTATTAATAAAATTACCTCGGGAAGACGACGGAGCCTTCTTCAATGGCGTACAAAGTGACGGACTCGGTTGTCAAACTCTGCAAAAATACGTAGAACTCCTCTTCTGTGGACTTCGGAAGCGTTGCTTTCAAGTATTCGATGTCTGGAAAGATTTAGGAGGTTACAAAGGTTACAAACAGCACCTCTGGTGTAAGAAAATATTCAACCAACTTTTTTTATGGGAAGAACAACAAATTTACCAAAAATATTGTAAACTTTGAGACGCACTGCTCAACTTGGAGTCTACGTAAGTTCCTTCTACCCATGGTGTCTTTTTTGGTTTTTAAAGTAAAATAAAAAAAAAAATCTGATCATTCTAAGTGTTCCCATGACCAAAATGCGAAACATTCCGTATTATCGGAAGTTTTCGGTAAAAAAAGTTCCATAGTATATCCATGATTTTAAGAATCAAGAAGTTAGAAACCAGATTGACGGTCATTTCTAGCCATGGAAGATAACTCTTATAATTCTATGATTTTTCGGCATATAAAACATAGGTTTTCTGATCATTGATTCATTATAGTGATTTGTTGTAGGGGGTACTCGGTACTCGTTTCAACCTCCAAATAATTGAGCCTATTCCTGGAAAAAACGAAAACGTCTAAAGAAAGAAACCTCGGTTTTCCGCGAAATTCCCGACATTTCCAAAAGTAAGAGTGAACATTTAAGGGTTTCGTTTTTTTTCAAGAGTTCTTTGCTTAACAACTTATTCGCGGATTCTATGAGGACGTTTTTTTAGGTTTTTTAGACGAAAGCAAATGCCTTAAGATTCTCAATTTTTCAGATTGCTACACACCTTGCTTCTTGAAAAAATGTTCAAGGATTGCACAATTTCATTCCATTGTTTTAACACACTATTGTAAACTAACAAAAGTTCAGGAGAACACAGGAGACTATACACCGAAAATCTGTTGTATATTTAAGTGAACATCAATTTGCTCGGTAATATTGATGGATTTCCTCACGGCAGCAAATTTTAAAACAATGGCATTCTCAAGGGGAAGCAGACAAAATCGAACATATAACAACAAGCCAGTCAGTTTATCGTCCGCAAAAACTCGAACTAGCTTAGCATGCAATGCGGAGGAAGTAGTAATAATATATATGTAGAATAAATTAGAAAACTGAAGGGTCAGCAGAATAAAATGCACTCACCGCTATCTGAATAGTGAAAATTTTCGAGGAATCGCAAGCATTCCTCGAGGCCGGCGAAAATGGTGAACTCCCCTTGGAAGGGGTTTTGTCGGAAGAACAAATCAAACACAGCCACATCGTTCATTTTACCGGACTTCCAATAAGCGTAGGCCATTGTGATTTGATACAAATCTGCAAAATAAAAAGAGAAAAAGTTCAATGTTTGTTTGAACCTATTCGAGGTAGTAAAACACATTCTTGGTATAATAATTTCTCAAATATTTTGAGAGGTTGCGAGAGGAACTTTTGAAAGTTATCATCCTGAAGTTTCTACATAAGACAGGAAGATAAAGTATACTCAAATTTCTTGTATTTGAGCGGCGCGCAGTGAAACGAGCTAATAAAAGAGGTCGGAAATGAAATTTTTGGCTAAAATTTCACATATTGATGTTTATTTCGTTCCATATTCGATTTCAAGGGGTGTTTCTTCAAGGGGTGGAAATCTAATGAAAAAACCGATGGAGCCACCCTTAAACATTCTTGCTGCATATTTTCGATAATATTAGCTTTCAAAGTTGTCAGATTTTGTTCGTCTTCACCAATTGACTTGGTCTAGTGTGTGGCGCGGCGGAGGACCCCCACACCCTGTTTTTACCGATTAAATTTTCTGAGCGTGTAGTGTAACGGAAATTCATTTTTAGGAATTCCATGAGAGAAATATTCGATGGTTACTGCTTCAATTTACACGCATATGTAAATACAAACGAGAAGAGAGACGTTATCTGCCACGAGATCAATGACAATGAAGGCATTTTGTGATGTAATTGGGGATTTTCCTGAGTGAAAAAAATCAGGCGAAGTTGTGACACTCCTTCCGCAAATTACTGATACATTAACTGACCAAAAAACCAACTATAAAGGTAAACTTTAAATTCAACCCATGGAAATTCGACACAGCATCACTATCACGAGTGACAAAACGGGAGAAGATGATGCAACATGATGAACGTACGCATGCCTAAAATTGCAGAGCGAAAAATTGAAGGAGTTTTGTGGCAACGCAAGTTCAGCGGGCGCGAAGGATGCGAGAAAAAGTCATGATATCGACGAGAAATGTGATGGTGTCACTGTCGAAAATGTTGACACAGCTAGTTCTGGCTTTTTACGTATCGACGTATCCAGGGCCGGATTTAGGGGGTGGCCACATAGGCCGCGGCCCATGGCGGCAAATTTAGGGGGCGGCAAATTTTATACTTTTTTTTAAATTTAACTACAAAGAAAAATCGGATTCAGAAAAAAAATTACAAACGAGTAATGGTGACAAAATCTCTCATTTCCTGAGTGTATATCTCTAATTTTGTCCTCTTTCTGTGATGCAGTAGACAGCACCTTTAATTAGTCGAGTTAAGACTAAGAGAGAAACCGAACACAGAATTTGACCTGGAACGGCGCGGCGCAGAGAGCACTAATGACGAGAACTTGAGATGAAAAGGAGAAACCCTCGGCGCGGCGGTCGGCATGTAACACATAATAGCGCCTACAAGACTGCATGAATACTTCACGCATTGCGTCAAAGACAGTGCGGCCGCTGCGGTCAGCAACGGGCGGCGGGAAACGCATAGCGCCTACAAGACAGTCGGGATACTTCACGCATTGCGCCAAACACAGTGCGGTCAGCGCGGCGCGGTGGCAGAAGATAAAATTGTTAAACCACATTTATGTTTGTTCTTTCATAATTTTTTCGTTCATTTCATATACAGTAAATGGGAGGTCTTGTCCACCCAGAGATAGGTTTATGGAACTTAACTTTCGCGCCAAGTTCCGTGAACTTTCGATAGTAGTGTTGACAGGGCTTTCGCAAAAAATGTGTCCAACACGAGTAAACGCGTCTTGTGCATCCCTCCCTCTCCGGCACGTTCACTTGATGGTTTTTATTGATGTTTCAAAACGAATGAGAAGGGGGCGGCAAAATACAGGCGGCCCATGGGCGGCAAGTAAGTAAATCCGGCCCTGGTATCATATGTTAGTTTTCATTATTTTCTGGGTACTTAGGACACAAACATGCCTCGCCACAGTCGCCACGAGTCAAAATTTTAGGATTTTGTTACGTGCCTAATTCGTCAGTTGTCATCGCTCATTGAAGTTATTCAAGAGAGTTTTAATTATTGAAGAGGTTGCGGTTTATTATACATCTAAATTAAAAGACCAGGTCGTGACTTACAGTGATAATTACATTTAGAGACTTGTTAGTGTATTTCCCAGGAGGCGTATTAAATTTAGTAATGCGGAAGTCAAAAGAAGATCCGATCATTCTACACAAAACATTCTTCACTAGATATCAAACTTTAACATTTTCGTAACGTACAATGGAATTGCTTCTGAAAAAATTCTTGCAAAATTTTACACTTCCAAATCATTTAATAAACATGAAGAGAGGTGTAATGGTGCCTCCAACACTACGCGATTCAAAATATCGAACATTTTATTGATTTTTATGTCTCGGACTTTCAGGATCAAAGCTCGGTGACACAAGCTACCTAGCCGCATTTTCGATCATTTTTACAGTTTTGATTTATCCAGGGTGTCTACTAAAATTTCATTTCGGATTTTCCTGATATTTTCGTGATATTTTAAATGTAATTCCCTGATTTTTTGCACTAAAAAAGTGGCATTCAACATATTTTGATGAATTGAATCAAATGTTTCAATTGGGCATGTGCTAAACTGCATGTAGTTGACAAACGCTTGGCGCACTCAAAATGGAGATGTTGCATATGTGAGGGAGTTGCGATTTGACCATTGATTCTTATGTAAAGGTTCGCAAGAAACACGATGGTGCCACTGGTTTTCTCTGAAATCATCTTCCAAGCGCAAAAAAAGCTCTCAAAGTGAGGCCAAAGTGGAGGGGATATCCCACCCTACCCTGAGAGTCCACCTCGACATCAAGACAAACTCTCCATGCAAAGATAGGGAGAAAATACATTAGCAGGGTTGCCGTGGTTTCAGTTTTGGAGTCCCCAAATAAAGTGGCAACCCTGCTAATGTATTTGCTCCCTATCTTTGCATGGAGAGTTCGTCTTGATGTAGAGGTGGACTCTCAGGATAGCGTGGGATATCCCCTCCATTTTGGCCTCAATTTGAGAGCTTTTCTTGAGCTTGGGAGATGATTTCAGAGAAAACCAGTGGCACCATTGCGTTTCTCGCGAACTTTTACATAAAAATCAATGGTCAAATCGCAAATCCCTCACACTTGCAACATCTCCATTTCCCGACCAATGACCGATTTTCCTGATTTTTCCTGATGATATCAAATTTCCTGATATTTTTCGATTCTTTCGGTTTTCACTGACTGTTAGAAACTCTGTTATTTTGTTTTCCCCCCTCATTTCTGCCGAGAACGAAAAACCGGAAAATGTAAACGAAAATCGACTTCCCGACGAAACTCATTGTCATCCCTGCACCGGCAACTCACGGGCGGCCTTGTCTCCCGGTAATAACAGCTCATCATGCGATATTCTCTCAGAGTGAAAGTTGAAAGAGGCCCCTCTCAAAGTTGCGAGTTGAAAACTTCATTAGGCCGCTCTCGACGGGGGAAGCCGTTAAGTTCCCAACTATGACACAGCTTCGGTCGGGATCAAGTCCACCGGGAAAAGTCCCTTTAACTTTTGATAACTTGTCTATCATAATTACCGGTGCCGGAATGAGCGAATGAGTGATTCTCACGGAAGAGAGTGCACAAATTGGTGCATTGATCAGTGGCATGGCGTGCTTTGCGATACATCGATTGGATTGCCTTTTGCAAAAAGGAACCACTAGCATTCTGCCGTGCTAAGGAAAAACGCCGTATGAACCTTCAGGCGTTGCCAAATTTCCTTTCATAAAACGCTAATTTTCTTGTAAACTTACGAATATTTCCTTCCCAATTTTTCAGATGATTTTGTTCACAATTTCACCTGAAGATTCTGAAAATTTAAAGGAAAAATATTCATAACTTTTCTCAAAAATAAACATTTTATCGAAGTAAATTTGGCAACTCTCGAATGTTTATACGGCGTTCTTCCTTAGCACGGCAGCATTGCAATGATGCTAAGATTATGTGCAACTTCATCCTTTGCAATAAAATTGCGGAGATCGTGAAAAACTATGAAATTTAGATGGTAATTTTTGTCTTAAATTCACAGTTTTTAGCGAGTAAAATAGAAACTATTAATGGATAATCGGGTTTTTCCTCCAAGACAAAAGAAGTTGCACAATCTTAGCAACATTGCAATGCTAGTGGTTCCTTTTTGCAAAATGCAATCCGATTGATCTGCCATTTGAACATATGGAAAAGGATCGATGAACGGGATGTTCGCGACGAACCCCTTGATAATCGATTCTTTACCACAGCTTTACATGGGGAAATATCGATGATCGACCATTCACGCCGCGCCGCGCCACTGATATCGACGCCCTGCCAGTACCAGTAGTTGGTGCTGCATGCACTACCGTGCTAAGCAAAAACGTCGTATGATCATTCGAATAGTGCCAACTTTCCCATCAGAGAATAATCAAATAGGTAATAAAAAACAGAGAAGATTGAAGTCATACGCTTATTTATGCCCTTTTAAAAATAAGGCATGCGTGTGAATTTTGGAACGACGCTATGAGGTGCATCATTTCAGAGTTTAGCCATTGAATAGGTAGCCAGCTTGCAGTACAGAGTCAAACAGGGACACAAGTATGCGCGAGACAGAGCTTTTCATAATCGAATTACAAAAGAAGGTCCAAAATTAAATTCCGTTCTCATCCCGTTTGCATGATGCGGAGGTTAGGTATATTCCGAGGTTGAAAATGGTCATGGTCGCACGGATGAGCATCAATCGGTGATACAAAGCAAACTACGTAACGGAAAATAGGTCAGTTGTACATTGCCCGATATTGTTATACATTTGCTTAGTGATTGATAGTCGGATGTTAAACATACAGGCTCTATGCCTTGTAAAAAAAACCTTTATCTGTTTTCGTGATGATATGATTTCGATTGGACTTACATTAAACAAACGGGCTCTATGTCTGTAAAAAAGACCTTTATCTGTTTTTGTGATGATAAGATTTCCATTGGACTTTTGACGCAGGGATTGAATCAATTAAGCGTATACTTATGCTGTAATGGACTATGCTGCATGCAAACCTTATGCACATAATTCCTT